AAAAAAAAAAAAAAAAAAAAAAACAAAAAAAAAAAAAAAAACAAAAAACAAAAAACAAAGAAAGAAACAAACAAACAAAAAAATTATGACTGACATCACTAATCTTAAATTTACGCTGATTGTTTCTGAAGAACAGTTTTCATTGGATTTGACGAATGTATTATGGGTGTGTTCTGTGATAGCTAGGTTAATAGCATAAAACCTACATAAGCGGTCAAACTGATCATGTACATACATTTATCACAAGTGACACATACAGATGACCTGAGCATGAACCAATTATTAATAAGCAGCTTCTAATAAACGAAATTAGAGTCAGGTAGATCTGACAGATACAAGCATCAGCAACAACACAACAGATTAAACAGCGGCAAACAACCAGGTTGACCTATTGGCCAAGCAAAGGTTTCCAATAAGATGACCAAATTAATGACAAACAACTCTTGTTCACATAGCCTTAATCATAATATGAAACCTAATCATTTGAACTCCAAACTCCTGTGTTTGGTTTTGTTTGTTTCAGTAAAAAAATGCTTCAGTGAGCCATTGAGCATTTGGGGAACATAATTTTTACGTGCAAAATTACGAAAATATGGACTGTATGTGATAGGTTCCCACAAATAGATGTATTCTTTCCAAAAGATTTGTCTCCTTTACTTTTAACAATTGGGGCATAATGGCAAAAAAGAGCATTTGCAAATTTGCGGCTGGATCTTCAAATTTTGACCGCACGTTGGCCATGCTCCACATTGTAACATGATAAATTCGTTTGTCTTTTTATCTTTTTCCAATAACTTCAATCTGAACGACAACAGTGACCTTTTGTCGGTGGTAATGGCTTTATCTTTCTTAAGTGATATGAAATTACGTCTGGCCTTTCATGATGGAGTCACTTAAGCTGTGATTTTAATTTCCAAAAGGGAGGTGTACTTTTCCTTTTGCTAAAAACGCACATTTGAACTTTAAAGAGCATTTAATGAGAACATTTTAATATTAATTCTCATCAATAGAGGGCACTGATTTCGCAAGACGTTTTCCGTTAACCGTTTCATGGATGGTTCAAGAGAGAAACGTGTGGGAAATGTTGGTCAATGATTTCTTAATTTAGAAGTGTGCATAATATTTGCCAGTCAACGATGATTATTTTATTTAGGACAAGTGTGTACACCTTAGTCTCGAAACTTGGAAAGAGAAAACGTTCCTCAAGGTATTTCACCGGTATAAACTCAAGAACTTATCTTCTGATACTTTTCTCATTGTTTCAGCATTCCGAATTTAAGACGGATATTTATACATTTACAGTCGTCCTAGCAGTCGTTTGCTCAAAAGCACCCTGACTTTTTGTTAACAATATTGGAAACAACGAATATCACGACCAACAGTAGCTTACTGGCATATAGTACAGCAGGCCCACGTGTGCCCTCTACCAGGACCACAGATTGATGTTTTCACTAGATATTTACAGATATGTTCTAGATAAATGATGGCACTTTTTCTACACTTTTTTTAGAGAAATTTTCACAAAATTATCTGTGACCCTGGTAGAGGGTAGCCTACATGTGGGTGGAAGTAAGCGAAACCCGAAGCAGTGGGAGTTCAGGGGGCAGGTGGTAAATGCCATGACGATAATATCAATAGAACACAAAAGGAGTCATTTAGATGGTGTAGTGATATATTCTCAGTTACTTTGGCACAATGTCCGTTTTCCCAGAGTGACGTCTCATCTCTACGTTCACGTTTGCACACTCGAAGATTTGCTGCACGTTTATTCCCCTCATGCATTTGTTGATCGTGCCAGTGTTACCGCCGCTTAATAACACTCACCTCCATCCATTTCCATCGAAGTTCATGTTAAAGCTGTAATTTTACATGAATTACAGTAGCGCTGGAGAAAAATGCTGAACATGTAAATGTCGAGATAAGATCACATAACAAAACGTTAGGGTTCACTCCCAATGAACCCATCGGTCCATGTAGATCGATCCAACTCCTCGGGGTCTCTCACCGCAGCAAGCAGATTACGTTATTAACACGCCTCCTCTTGTTCCCACTCCTTCCCCTTTTAGTAAAATAAAGAGGAGCCAGTGCTTTTATGAGTACGTTGGAAACAAGAGATGGCGTGTTAATATCTTAATCTGATTGCATTCAGGTTGAGTTCCAGCGGAGTTGAATCGATCAAGGTAGATTGATAGTTTTATTGGATATGAGTACTTAGAGGAAGACCTATTGTTAAGCGGATGTGCTGCAGGCATTGTCTAGCCTGTAGCAATAGACATGGTGTGCAGAAACCAGCACCTCCAACACAGGTTTACTTCAATAAAAGCACTTCCTCGAAAAGCTTCCATTATTTTAGCAACGCGTGTCTGCGCTATTTGTCTAAGCAGTCCAAATCGACTGATACCTAATTCAAATAACTTTCACATTAACTAAAACACCAGTTTTGATTGTCTTATAATTGCGGTTTTAAATCAGGCTTTTGTTCATGAGCGTCTGAACAAATTACTCGTCAATTTGGATCCCCAGATAATACTATTTGTACAGCTAAACCACAAAACAGCAGCAAAATGAGATCGCTTAGAAAGCATTTGTTATACATTAATATATTTTGTTTCCAATGCATTGTGATGGTTTATTCATTTTGTTGTTTGTTTTGATGCGAAATCAGCAACTGGGGTTTTAGTTTCCAAAACGATCTGCAACGAAGGCCCTTAAAGTCGCGTACAATGTTAATGAAATTATAAAACCACGACTTAATCATTTCTGACACAGAAATCCCTCGGCATGAAATTTTCGATTTTTCTTATCGTTCTTCTCCCGCTGTAACCAACTGTGTTACTCGTCACATTTTACACAGCATTTCGTTATATCTCACAAAGGGGCTGGGGCTCTTTACTACAAACCTATTCTTTACCATTAGCCTATTCTAAAGCTTTTCCCTATAGACAAATCGAGAACTAG